GAATAAAGTAAAGCAAGTAAAATTTTCTTTGAAAAAGTGTATTTGTGGTAAATTTCAATGGGTAGGTTAAATTACCTTCCAATGTAATAAGGTTTACACGATTTAAATCAGAAACAAACATCTCCATTGTCTAATTTCAAGTGCAGTATAAATAAATGTTGTGAAATTTACCAGTAAATACATTTCTAAATGTACATTTTTGATTTATACTCTTTGGTGATCCATCCTTGGTTTGTATTGTTGCAAAGTTCTAATTTGTACGAGTTAAATTCTAAAACAATGTTTTGATATATGAAAGTCCTGATCTAACACATGTGTAAGTTGAGAACTGGGAACAAATATAATTCTTGAATTTGTACAAATTTATTGATTTACATTTTCAAATTAGACATGTGTGCAAACATTTTTATTGTTATCTTTTTCCATTACTCTGTCCTGTAAAGTATGCAAAGCTTCCGCCGTAGCTGTACTAGAAACATCACATGACCTTCCTCACACTGAGGGCTGACCTAGATTGTGAAACTCCTTTTTAACCTTTCGCCCACTCGTTACCAGATAATGACTCAGCACTGTGACAGGGGGGTTTGCCTTCCTTACATCAGCCGGGAGACGTAATCACCTCCAGCATTCTGGAAGATCACCTGCTCATTTGATCATGTGACTCTCTGAACAGGGCAGTGGGTGGAAGGAGTGGCATGGGCGGCTCAGCAGGGCTTACACAACAAACTGCATGCCAGAATCCACCTACTAACTAAAGTTTTCCCTGCTTTATGATCTTATGCAGGCCGATTTTTCTGCAGGAACTTTTCTCTGCAGCAAAAATGCAAACCAGAGTGTTACATATCAGTTGTTGAAAAGACCCGTTCGGATGAATGAACATAGTCCTGCTGACCGCGGCAGAAGCCTCTGCAGGGTTGGGGTTGCTGTGGATTATTGTTCTCAGAGATGGCTCTGGGGCCGCAGCGGCCTGCGTGACCCCTGTGATCCACACGTGACGCCTCTTTCCACAACCTCAGCTGCAGCAACTTCGCAGCGTTTAGCTTTTGTCCTGTTTCATAGTTAGAGTGGCTCAGGTTATCCTGAGCTATCTCTATAGTTCTGCTGCTATAGGCTTAGACTGCTGGAGGACATAGG